GCGAAGGGATGGAGAACGGCCTGGGCCTGTGCATCGCCGCCACGAGGCCCTACACGCTGAGGATCCAGCCGAAGAAGATGGAGCAGGTCGTGCTGGCTACCGAGGCGGCGGTGTTGGAAGTGGCTCTCAGACCTTCGGCGGTGGCCTCTCTGGTCGGGCACTGGACCTGGACCATGATGGTCTTCCGCCCCTCGTTTGCGATCCTGGGCGCGACCTACAGGTGGCTGAGGGAGTTCAACGAGGAGGAGAGTGTTGTGCCGCACCGCTTGCCCGAGGAGGTCAGGAGCGAGTTGAGGGCCGTCGCGTCCCTCTCGGTCTACATGGAGTCGAACCTGGAGATGGGCTGGTGGCCGAGAGCATACATGACGGATGCGTCCAACGAAGGCTTCGGCGCCCTGGCCTGCGACTGCACGGAGGAGGACGTCCGACGAGAAGCTGCCCGTGGAGATGGAGGAGCTTGGGGACCCCTGACCGAGCAGAGCTACACCGAGATCGAGCGGGCGCAGGAGGCGATCGGCGAGGAGGAGGACCTCCCGGCCGCTCCCGCTACGGGGCGACCTGGGGTGTTGGAGCTCTTCGCTGGGAGCTCCCGCTTGCTGGAGGCGATCAGGGAGATGACCGACTCGTGGGGCGAGGCCTGGGACATCCAGCGGGGCGAGGAGTTCGACGTACTGGTCACAGAGAACTTGGAGCTGTTGTTACGGAGAGTGAGGACTGGCTGGTTCTGGTGGGTGCATGTTGCCCCCCCGTGCGCGACGTTTTCGAGAGCAAGGCAGCCGCCGCTGAGGTCGAGCGACCACCCGTGGGGGCTGCCGGACTGCACGAAGACGGACCAGGCCAAGATAGACGAAGGGAACGCTTTGGCTTTGATAGCAGTAGAGGTGGTCAAGATCTGCCTACGCCTTGGCATTGGATTCACCCTCGAGAACCCCAGGACCAACATGATATGGGCGTTCGCGCCAATGACCGCGCTCTTGGATCTCGAGGGGGTGTTCCGTGTGGAGGTGGATTACTGCATGTATGGCGAAGAATGGAGGAAGCCAACTACGTTCATCACCAACGTGAAGAAGATGGCGACGCTACAGCGGGTGTGCTTGTGCCCCTCGAACCGATGCAGTCGGACTGGCCGAGCTCACCGAGAACTACGAGGACGATCACCAGGTGGGCTACGGTGGACCCAGGTGGCATGTGCTTACCCGCTGGAGTTGTGCAGGGCATACGCGTCCACTCTGCAGGAGCTCGAGCCGCACTGGGACTCGATACCAGCGGGGGCCCGGCTTCGCCTGCAGGGCGACCGCGGGCGCGTCGTGAGAGCGACTGGGCCAGCCCTGCCTCTGCTTGGCCATTGGCTGGAGAAGAAGTGGCACGTGCTGTTTCAGGGACGTTGGTCCCACGCAGAGCACAACAATGTCTTGGAGCTGCGTACGGTGGTGGCGGTGCTCCGACACCTCAGTCGCACGTCCCAGAGCTGGAATTACCGCGTGCTGTTCTTCACCGACTCGTTGGTGAGCCTAGGCGTTCTCAAGAAGGGACGCTCGTCTGCCAAGGACCTCTTGCACCTGGCGAGGATCGGCGGCATCATCCAGATGGTTTGCAGGATCCGAGGGTACTTCAGGTGGGTGCCGAGCGAGCTCAACCTGGCAGACGGCCCCTCGAGAGGTCAAGGCATAGGCGCGGCGGAGGACACCGTGGCGGGCCACGTGGGCCGTGGGGCGCCGAAGGAGCTACTTCAACGGCTGCAAGATCGGGCCCGACGAGGACCGCCTGGAGTTTCGCATTTGTGATGGCCATGAGCGGGCTGACGCTGTGCGAAGCGATGCCGCGGCGTGGGGTGGACAGCCCCGCTACGACCTCTGCAAAGCCCCCCCCTCTGGCTAAGAGGGGCGCTCGGGCCTGGGAGCAGGCCCCGAGTGACAAGCTGCACCACAACGTGAGGCTCGTGGTGCACGCAGTGGACGACACCACGAATCAGATCTACGAGAAGGAAGTGAGGACCTTTCTCCTGGACGTGAAGCGGCACGGGCTCCCCTTCTCCACCTACGAGGAAAGGGATGCGGCTCTGGGCGGGTGCATATCGGACATGTGCTACGTGATGCAGTTGCCCTTCGGCAGGGCGTCAGCGTTGTTCAATGGTTTCATGCACATCTTCGAGGACCACCGCAATCGGCTCCCCGTCGCGGCCAGGGCGCTGAAGTCCTGGTCTAGGATGGGCTTCCAGAAGGAGGGGGCGCCGGTGCCGTTCGAAGCTGTGGGGTGCGTGCTCTACGACCTCTTTGAGCACGGCCAGCTGTACGAGGGGGCCGCGGTGCTGCTGCAGCTGGACGGCTGGCTGAGGGAGCAGGACTGGGGCCTCCTCAGGAAGACGGACGTGGCGGTGGGCCCCGACGGGGAAGTCGGGCTCACCTTGGGCCGCAGAGAGCGAGGCGAGAAGGTGAAGACGGGAGCGAACCAGGGCGTCGTGGTCTCGTGGCAGGTGACGAAGGCCATCCTACGGGCGATCGGCAAAGGCGCTGCATCACGGGACCTCCTCTTCCCGATCTCGCAGGACAAGTACAGAAAGGCGTGGAGGCAGGCCTTCGACAGGGCGGGCCTGGCGGACTTCGGCCCCCCGCACTCGCTGAGGCACGCGGGGGCAGCGGCCTACATCGCCGCAGGCGGCTCGCTGGAGGCGGCGCGCCGGAAGGGCCGCTGGCAGACCACGTCGGCCCTTCAGCGTTACACGAAAGTGCACGTGCTGATCGAGCAGCGGAGCCGGCTCACCCCCGCGCAGCTTGAGCGGGGGAGGGCCTTCTGGCGCAGGCCGGCCCAGCAGATCTCAGAGGCCATCTACCGCTCCGACGCTGTGCTGGCCCCGCTGGCGCGGGACATGGTGCACGAGCTCGGGGCAGCCACGAACGACGAGGTCGTGCTGCCGCAGCTGGAGAGTATGGCGGACGGGGGCGCGGAGCCCACCAGCCGCCCGTCCACTGCTGGCCGTAGCAGGGCCAGACGGCAATGAGCAGGCCGCTACAGGCCCCACTCTCATTTCAGGCCCCGCCTTTCGCGGGGGCCATATCTTTTGATATGAATGCAGGAGCCTCGAGATTTGGGCGCGTGCACCTTGTTCTCCACTTGTCTTCCTTGAACATTTGATAGATGTGGGGAAAATATAAAGCAGGTTTTTTGGTGGGTGAGAGCGACACAAATTATCTCCCTTTCCCCCCCTCCCGAATGTGTGCCGCGCTCGTGTCTAGCTGTGGCTGGAAGCGTGTAGGCACAAGTGCCAGTCTAGTGATGACGGGACTGGGGGTTTCGCCGCGAGGCTTTTTGGCCCGACCGTGGGCCGAGGCACGGTCAGGTACCTCTCGGCCTTTTATGTTTCGGGCCTCACACGGGGCCCCGCCGCTGCGAACAGATACTTTCGGAGGGTGCCCCCTCCTCTCGAGCCGCTCGCTGTCCTGTGGGGTTGTCTCTCCCGCTGCTGCGTCGGATATTCTGTGGGGCCTCTTTTGATTAGGGTTGTCGCTCTACCCCCGCCTGCCCCCAGCACTCAAAAATCAAGATTTAATGGTATAGGCACGCTCCGAGTTAACATATATTCAAGCCTGGCTCTCGAGTGTGGGTGCTGTGTAAATACGCGTTTTTAAACACACTTTTACACACTCCCTGTAAACGTTCAGATAGCCGCCTCAACTGCAAATTAAGAGGAGGAGTAGCGCATTCTCTCTCGTGCTTGTCCCTCCTCTCCTGGCGCAAAGTTTCGGCTCCCAACCCTGCCCACCCTTGGGCTTGTGTGAGCTCGGGGGTTTCGCCGCGAGGCTTTTTGGCCCGACCGTGGGCCGAGGCACGGTCAGGTACCTCTCGGCCTTTTATGTTTCGGGCCTCATACGGGGCCCCGCCGCTGCGAACAGATACTTTCGGAGGGTGCCCCCTCCTCTCGAGCCGCTCGCTGTCCTGTGGGGTTGTCTCTCCCGCTGCTGCGTCGGATATTCTGTGGGGCCTCTTTTGATTAGGGTTGTCGCTCTACCCCCGCCTGCCCCCAGCACTCAAAAATCAAGATTTAATGGTATAGGCACGCTCCGAGTTAACATATATTCAAGCCTGGCTCTCGAGTGTGGGTGCTGTGTAAATGTCTTTGTCGTTGTGTCCTCGTCTCCTGAGTTCGTGCCGCAGGGGGAGGCTCAGCTCATCCGAGACTGCTGCTGCTACCGCTGCCACTGCCGTTGCCTCCCCGATCGGCGCGTCTCTGTCCTCGCCTCCTCCTCCCCCTCCTCGTCGGCGCCCTTCTCCCTCTCATTCTCCTGGACGTCCTTTGTCGCGGCCCCAGCGGCGGACACAGCGAATGGCCGCCAACAGCACCGATTAGGGATCCTCTGGCGTGTTCTTTGATGGCCTCGGAACTTGGCCAAGAGCCTCCGTATGCCCATGGGGGCCCATAGAAGCCTCCATGGATCCTCCTCCTCTCCCTCGTCCTCCTGCTCCTACTGCTCCTGCTCCTGCTCCTTCTCCTCCTCCTCCTCCTCCTCCTCCTCCTACTCCTTTGTCCTCCCACGACTCCCCCTCTACCTCCCTCGCCCCCTTCCCCTTCTCATCCTCAGTCCTCTTCCTGCTCCTCGACTTTATCTCAGCCCTCGTCTTTCGGCTCGTCCTTCTCCTCCTTCTCCTGCTCCTCATTCTCCTTGTCCTCGTTCTCTCCTTCGTCGTCGTCGCCGTCGTCGTCGTCGTCGTCGTGGTGGTGGTGGTGGTCGTCGTCCTCATCGTCATCATCATTGTTGTCGTCGTCGTCCTCTTCCTCCTCCTCCTCCTCCTGCTCTTCTCCTTCTCCTCCGCGCCCTCGTCATCGTTGTCGTCCTCTCTCTCTCTCTGTCTCTGTCGCTGTTTCTGTCTCTGTCTCCTTCTGTCTGTCTCTCTGTCTCTCAGTCTCTCTGTCTCTCAATCTTTCTGTGTTTCACTGTCTCTCTCT